CAGGGAAGGCCAGACCGAGCAGTGCTGCTCCCAAAAACCACAGGGAGGCCAGGAGTGGAAATCGAGATGCTCTCTGCAAGCTGGAGGAGCAGCCTGAGACCCCCCAGGATGCCAGGAGCAGAATCAGCTGTGCTCGTGGGGTACAGGCTCCCTCCAAGAGAGGCTGAAACACTGGCACGAGGATGCTTGATGACACATTTGGGGGGACTGCTGCAGGGAAGCGCCCTGGCAGCAGGCTAAGGACATCCTGGCATGGGACAGGGCAGCCCCTGCTGACCCACGGCCATGCCAGAACCTTGCGTGGCTGGAACTGCAAGTCAGGGGACTCGGGGAACATGGCAGGGTCGGGGGGGACCCCACAGCACCTCTGGCAAGGACTATAGGGCCATCTCAGCAGCACTGGGAGGTTCGGCTGCACACCGGGATCGGGGGGCTGAGCACGGGGAGGGCACTGCCCCACAAACACTGTCCCCAGTACCAGCCCCAGGATGAGGAGAGGAGGCAGCTCAGCCCCCAGAGAAGCTGGGCTCAGCCCCGTGGTTTGCACAGGTCTCCGGAGCCCACATCCAGCTCTGCGGAGCAGGAGATACTCACAGGTGGGACAGGGAGGTGACATCTGCGAAGATGCCCTCGGGGAGGCTGGAGATGTCATTGCCGTGGAGAGACCTGCAGAGAACAGAGGCCCCTGCGATGCCGACAGCTTCGGGGTGGGCAGCAAGGACTGTCCCCAGCTGGGCTGCCCCCCCACTCCCCAGATGCAGGCCTGGGTGGCAGAGCTGGCACCTGCTGCGCTGCCCCCGCTGCAAATGCACCGTCTGGTCCAGGAGGCTGACGCATCCCCCCTCGCTCCTCCTGCAGCCCGCACCCAGCTCCAACTGGCAGAGGGGACACGGGCAGCAGCAGAGAAGGGGCTGAGCGGGGCTGTGAGCAGGGCTACGGGCAGGTACTTACAGCAGGCGGAGGGAGCGGAGGCCCTCGAAGGCCAGCGGAGGGATGCACTGCAGCGAGTTGTAACTGAGGATCCTGCGGAAGGGAAGAAGGAGGCAGGGGCATGGCTGTGTGTGCTGCAAGAAGCTCAGCCCGGGCTGCATGCTCCCCCGGCGTGAGCTCCAGCTTCTCCCAGGCAGAAGGGGGAGACCCTGGTGTCCCCAGCATCCCTCGGTCTTTGGGGTCCCCTAGGAACAGCCCCCCCGCAGCTCGGCTGGGCTGCACGCTGCAGGGACTGCACTTACAGGGTGGTGAGCTGGCTCATGTTGGTGAAGGAGGAGTTGCTCAGGGAGCTGATCTTGTTGTTGCTGAGATCGCTGGAAAAGAGAAACCCCAGGGCTTGGAGCCAGCTGGGCCCTGTCCCCCCTCACAGTGGGGTGCGAACAGCGGCACGGCTTCCAAGAAGGGCCCTCTGCCCCACGCCCAGCCCACAGGCTGTGAGCACCCAGGGCTGAGCATCACTGCCAGGCAGCTGTGTCCCACTGCAGAGCATGGGGGGATACGGGGGTCTCACCACACCCACAGGTCCCAGGAGTGGGGCGGGCTGCCTGCGCTCCTGCTCCAGGCTACTTACACGAGCTGCAGGTACTTGAAGGTGGAGAGCTGCCCCGGGACCTGAGTGAACTGGTTTCCATCCAGGTAGCTGGAGGGAGAACAAAAAGCACCTCAGAGTGGTGAAGAAGCAGGAGGTCCCTCTCTCCCCCTGCTCCCATTTTTTCTGCACAGAAACCCCTGTGGACTTGGGGCTGCGAGAACCATCTCCAGCATCACTTCCCTCCCAGCACCCAGGGCCCGTGGGGCTCCCAGGGGACCCCCGGGCTGTCAGGGGACCGCATTAACATGCCTGGGGGCTCCATGTGCGGGTCCCCAGAAGCAGTCTCCCAGCCGCCCGCGTGTGCAAGCGCAGCCAGCCATGTGCTGCATTTACACACCCGATGTGAGTGTGGGCAGCCATAACCATTCCCAAGGCATGGGTGAGAGAGGAGGATGGGGAGCGGTGTGCGAGACAGCGCAGGGGTGTGAGGGGGTGGTATATGTGTGCATGTGCACAACCAGTGCCTACAGCCCAGCACACAGGACTTGCTTCATCCCAGGCAGGTGCTGAACCTACAACGAGCATCAAGGTCCCTGCACATCCAGACCTGGCTCAGCTGCTGGGATATCTCCCTGATACCCAAACTGCATCCCTGCGTTCTCAGAGCCTGTGCTGCCAAGAGCATCTCCACAGCTGCAGGGAGAGGTGATGGCAGAGGCCAGGGAGCTGGCATAGGCAGGGTGGCCCTGTCCCTGTTGCTGATGGCAGGCTGCTGGGGACCGCAGAGCCCTGGGCTGCACAGCTGTGTGGGGACCACAGCTGCAGGGGGTGGCTGCCCCCTCCCAAAGAGCAGGGACCCAGCAGCTGTGACTGCCCCTTGCATATCACCCTTGGTAGCCCCAAGTCAGCAGAGAGGCTCTTGTTGGGCCCCTTGCTGGGGTCAGGGTCCTCTTCCCACTACCCGGCCAGGGTGGGGGTGTGGGAGGGAGCATCTCTGCCCCAACACCTGCAACCCCACAGCAGAGACACCCCCGCAGAGGGGCAAAGTCGCTGGCCGCCGGGGGAGAGCCTGGGCACTCGCCCACCACTCACAGCTCCGTGACGTTCTTGGGGATCCCCTTGGGCAGGGCCTTGAGGTGCTTGTTGCTGCAGCGGACGACGGTGTCGAGGCAGGTGCACTCCTGTGGGCACTGGGGCCGGGGGATGCAGCTGGTCTCCTCCTGACCTGCACCAGGCAGAGAGCGCCGCAAAGTCACCAGCGCCCAGCCCCTGGGCACCGTGTGAGGCTGGACTCGGTGCCTTGCGCCCCCCTAGGACTGCTCCCTCACCCCCAAAGCAGGGTGCTGTAGGCAGCCTGCCCGTGGCGAACGGCCCCAGACCTGCTGACTGCCAGTGGCAAGGGAATCACGCTCCCCCATGGCATGGGAATCATGCTCCTATGCCCAGAAACCGCCTGCACCACTGGGGTGGATGCAACCAGCCTGCCCAAGGCTGCGCTCATGTTCACGGTTCCCAGGATGGCAGAGAGGAGGGCATGGAGGAAGGGGTTCAGCCCTGCAAATCCTCCTGAAATAACCTCCTTCACCCATCTGCTAGACCCAGGCTAGAGGGAGAGGTGCCTCGAGCAGCCGGAGGAGCCGGTGTTGCCCCCCATTCCCTGCCGCAGCGCTGGGCTCCTGCGGGAGAGCCATCCCTGGGACACCCGTGGGTTGTTCTGCACCGCTAGGAAAGGCGCAGAATGCAACCCTTCAGGCTTTGACATGTTGGAGGAGGGAGAGCAGAAGAAACGATGGTTTGTTTGTAAATATTTCCCAGAGGGCTCAAAAGCTGTTCTAAATTTTTAAAAATTTTAAAAAGGCTTTTCTCTCAACATGTGCGCTCCTCGCCAGCTCCATCTGCCCAGCTCCGTGTGCCGGGCTGGGAAGGGAAGGGAGGGAGGAGCAGGATGAACCCCGGTGGGCTTTGCCTGCGCATCTGCTCCTGCCAGCACCTAGGGCACAGCATTTGGAGCACAGACCTGCCACGTGGTGCAGCGGGTGCAAACTCCTCTCCCTCTTCGGAGCGGCTCCTGGGTATCTGAGTGCAGCCCTAAGGGCTGGGTACCAGGAGGGGATCTCCTGCATCCTTGGGGTGGGCCATTAATGGGCTGAGAGACATCCCCAAGCTACCAGCCTGCTGCAGGGCACCGCCAAACATCCCGGGAGTGAGAACGGTGCTGGCACAGGGAGCGCAGTGCCATCCTGGGATGAGCAGCCCAGTCCCCCCTCATCCCTGGCACCGCAGGGCCCGTGAGTTACCTTCCTCACACCTGAAGTCGGGGAAAGCCACGTCCTGGAGCGGGATCTGCCGGAGGAAGTCGGGGTTTTGGCACCGCGGGTTCCCCGTCACGATCTTCCTCTTGCGCAGCCAGTCCCCCAGCCAGGCCAGCTGGCAGTTGCAGTTGAAGGGGTTGGCAAGCAGGTTCCTGCACATGGGAGGGAGCACAAGGGCATCACCTGAACAGCCGCCGGGCAAGGGGACCCCTTGCAGCCCCCCCCGAGGATCTGCCGGAGGAAGTCGGGGTTTTGGCACCGCGGGTTCCCCGTCACGATCTTCCTCTTGCGCAGCCAGTCCCCCAGCCAGGCCAGCTGGCAGTTGCAGTTGAAGGGGTTGGCAAGCAGGTTCCTGCACATGGGAGGGAGCACAAGGGCATCACCTGAACAGCCGCCGGGCAAGGGGACCCCTTGCAGCCCCCCCCGATACCCTGAGGACTGCCTGGGAGCAGCCACCCTGCCAGGGCCCGAGACGTACAGCGTGGAGAGGGACTGCAGCGTGTCGAAGGCGCCCGGCGCGATGGTGCTGATCTGGTTGTCGTACAGGGAGAGCAGGCGGACGTTGCGCAGCCCCGTGAAGCTGTCGTTGTGGATGCAGCTGATGCGGTTGTTCCTCAGCATCCTGCAGAGAAGAGAACGAGGGCACTTAACGACCCAGGCAGGTGCAGCAGGAGAAACCCACCTTGGCAGTGCCCAGGCTCTGCCCACGTCGCTGCTGGGCAGCAGGATGAGCCTAAGCCAGACCCTGAGCAGCAAAAACCTGCCCCCCCCCAGCTCTGGGTATGGGCAGCAGATGGGTAAGGCACTCCCAGGTCATGCAGACAGCACCAGCCTGGGATCGTGGGCAGGGCAGGGGAGCAAGGATGTCCCCCCATCCCTGTGCCCATGGCAGAGAGGTGACTCACAGGGTCCTCAGCCCGTCCAGGCCCCTGAACATGCCGCTCCGCACAGACTCCAGCTGGTTGACGGTGAGGTGCAGCTCGCTGACAGAGGATGCCCCCTCGAACGCCCCGTCCTCGATCTCTGACACCTTGTTATTGCTGAGGTTGCTGCGGAGAGGGGAAAGCAGGCTGGGACGGGGGCTCTGCCCCAACCTCATCCTGCGCCCGGCCTCCCCCAGGTCCCACCGAGCACCCCGTGATGCCCGGTCCTTCAGGGGAGCCTCAGGTCTGGATGTGCCCCCCCTATTTCATGCCCCCAGGCATCAGGACCACATGTGCTTTCCCAGCCCTCACGCACTCCCAGCGGGGCTGTGCCTGCCTGGTACTCACATTTTCTTCAGATGTGGGAGTTTCTTGAAGATGCCAGTGGCCTCCAGGACGGAGATTTCATTGTTGTTCAGGCGCCTGTGGTGGGTGTCAGGGAAAAGAGCTCAGGAGACAGCTGGGAAGGGCCTGGCACAGATCAGACCCTGAACCAGCGCCAGCGACACTCCAGCTGCAGGAGGTAAAGTGGAGTGGGAGGGAGGGGGCTCTTACAGCTCGGCCGTGGACTGCGGGATGCGCTCCGGGATCTTGGTGAGCTTCAGGTTGGAGCACTCGACCACGCTGGACTCGCAGCGGCACTTCGGGGGGCAGATCACGTCGCTGTTGCACTCGCTGTTGAGCTGGTAATCCTCCGTCCCTGCGTGCCAGCGAGGGCAGAGTGAGCTCCTGCAGCCGCCAGCCCGGGGAGGCATGGGGGCTGCACCTGCCCGCTCCCCCTCATCCTCCCACAGCCCCAGCCAGGCTCTGTCTCTTCCCTAGCTCCCTTCATCCCAGGCCCTGTGCGCATATTACTCCTCTCCATGCCCAAAGCAGCTTATCCACAGGGATATTTGTACTGGGTACAGTGCTGCCCACAGCCCCCTCCCCTCCTGCAACCACGGCCAGACCCCGGGGTTGCCTCTGTGCGCATCCAGGTAACGGCACAAGGGTTGATGCTGACAGATCCTGGTACCCAGCACTCTGATTATGGTGGGACCTGGGAACTCAGCAGCCAGAAACAATGGGAAACGCAGTCTGGACAAAAGGGCACCACACACCCGCACACACACGGGGCTCTTCCTCTTACCTGGGATGAAATACTGCTCTTTGGCTGCGGAGAAAAAAAGCCCATCAGCACCCCGAGCACAGACACAGGGCTGGGGCAGGGCTGAGGA